AGGAAACCAGAGTGCAGGCTGTGGGGATCAAAGCGGGTACCTGCAACCTTCATAGACCACCAGCGCACTGCTGTTACCACTAGGCCAACACCCCCCAAAACATGCCCTGCAGCTCCTATTTAGTATATTCTTTACCCAATAGTAATGTTTGCCTTAGATGCTCAATTGCATAGAGGTTGTGCCCACAGGTTTTTACATTGGCTTCTTCATTTTAATCGTGTTTTGTACATTAATGACATCTAACAAAAATATAGATGGAAAACTAACAAAAGTCAAATTTTTGGCACTCTTGGTTATATTATTTTACGTTTTTTGTCAATATTTATTTTCAAATTTTTCAGGTAATATTATTCTGAACCTCATTGAAGGCTTAGGCTGTTCTGTGTCAAATGAAGTTTGTCATATCAGTGAACCTGGAGCTGTTTAACAACCCCGAGTCTCAAAAACTTTCATTCTTTTGAAGTACACACAACCTGTGAATGTTCATTTAGCAGAAAACTCCCGCAGCCATGCATACATCGCAATTACATTTCACAGTCTTTCAAATGCGTTAACGCCTCCACTGCCGAGCCTTAGCACCGGGAACGTGAAATCACAATGCAGCGACGCCGGCGTCTGAGAACTTGGCTGTGTTTTTCAACTGAGTCTATTTTCATCCCCTCCCCCGAGTCGCTCCCTGCTAGATGAGCGAGGCGTTCAGGTGCCTGAGAGCGGTTGAGATATATAGTGGCTCACCGTTACATCGACATCCTCCTGTTCCCTCTTTTTCTCCTCACTTGCAGCTCAGCCCACGCTGGTGGAAACGAAGCTCGAAGCGAAGGGCGGCAATGGAAGGAAACAGAGAACAAGCAATGAGGGAGATAAATATTGAGTGGCTGAGGGGGTGGACGAGTTAGCAAATATGAGGTACAGAGATATAAAGTGGAGTGCATTGGAAGAGGAAATCAGAATGATGCTTTTACATTTCATCAAACATGCTTTAAATGTTCTGCTACTTCTCTTCAGTTAAACCATTTGCTTATCGCTTGTGTAATATATATTTATATCATCATGTAAATACAGTATAGAGAGACAAATTTAAAATGACACTGTAAACTGAAATGTCAGTATACTCAAAACAACGTTTCTGGTTAACATGCTGAGCTTTTTCCAAGCGAACCATAAGGTGTGCAGGAAGATATCTAAGAAATTCTGAGGTTATCATACACAAATATCTTTCAAATTTCAAAAGTGAAGTTCACTGTCGGTGTATATTATTTGATTTTGTTTATGTAAGATTAAAACTGAGGCTGCATCTTATCAAAATAAAATGCAAACTCTCTGGATGACTAGACTGCATGCTTGGCTGCCTCAGAGTCTTACAGGTCTTCTGACAAAGGACTGAATCTAACCCTCATTTTCAGGACAAACTGTGTGTATTTCTAAGACCCGAACTCTTATTTTATATTTGAGGTCAGTCACTCTTTTGCAATTAAAACTCTTTCTAAAATCATAAAGCGATTAAAAAATAAGCACAAAGAGTTTTGAGACAAAAGGGAAGCAGTTAGGGAATGCAGCTGATCCAATAAGCAATATGGATAACTGAGATAGAAAAAGTCCAAAGACTTTCATAATTAAAAGTTCTCTTGTGCCTTTGGAGCTAAAAGTATTGTGAATTCTATTTTTTTTATTAGAATTGTTTTACTTTAATGTTATTTATGTTGAGTTTGTTAAATCTGAATACAATGATCCTCAGCACAATAAAAATATAATTCTAACTCAATTCAATTATTGAAAAATGTAAATGGTCTGAGAAATGACTCGTTTTTTTGTTTTTTTTATCTTTGCCTTTTTTATGACCTTATTGCATGCATTAACCTTAAAGTGGTGCATTGTGTGCTGAAACCATGCTCAAAACGTCCAGGGTATAAGTTGCTTGCTTTAAGTGCTATTGCATCCATTTACATAGATTTCCAGTGTGCAGAAATACCCAGACATCTCTAAAAAAAAACACAAATGGATATTTGTCACTGTCAAAAGAAGTGCCAAAACTGTGGTTTGGGGAATAGCTTTGTCTTTGATAGCTTGTGTCATTATAAAATGGCATTTTAACCCAAAGTGCAGCATTTTAACAGAATTGATTCCAATTAAAATACTTGAATATCGCTCCATGAATAAATCAGCCAGTGCAAATGTAAGAAGAAATACACTGAATGTCAGTAATTCTAAAGTGATGATCCATAATACATTTATTGTTTTTTTACAGCCTGCATCACAATTGCATCAGTGTGCTTTTCATATTAAATTTTTCTAAAACCAAAATTAAATTTGAATGCTTTAAGTTTTCATTGGTGCATGCAGAAATCACCACTATACCGAATGCCATCCAGACAATTCACAGCCATGCACTCAGTTCTCTTTAACAGAACAGTTGGTGAGCGGATGGGCATTTGTGCTCACCCTGGTTCAAGCAGTGCGGTCTGCTGAGCCACAGACTTTTGATTGCAGCATCACACCATGAAATCTGCTGAGGTGTAAAATGAAAACGAGGTGAGAGAAATTAAATACGGCTCACAGATATTAGTGAAGATGGATGAAGAGGACATTTTCTGTACGGGTTGAGGAGGAAAATGGAGAATAATCAAACGGGTTAAATTATGAAAAGTAATGATGCACAGTAGGATATACTGAATAGAGTTTCAAACTGTTGTTTTTCTCTTTGATTTTGATGAAAAATTGTGTTTTCCGATATGACATATTTTTCATTAAAGAACAAGGTTCCAAATGGACTGGTTATTGACTCTGTCACAGATCGCAGCAGTTTGACAAACAAATTAACTTTTTCTTCCTAACTGCTTTTTAAAAACCAATCCATCACCTTCACATACAAAATAGCCTCTGTACTATTGATTTTTTCTAAAAGTCTCTCCTAGACGATAAGGTGAAACAAAAGAATTTAGCTTCAACTAATTATTTAAAAGTCTGGAAAACTAGGTTGATAAAAATGTAAAAAACTTTTTCCAAAGTGAAATTCTTTTGTTTTGACAGTCCAGAACGGAATTTCATTAATAATAAAAAAAGCATTGTTGAAACTTATTTTCAACTGTTTAAAGTTTGTTTGAATCTTGGGGTCATCACTGAGGCTGAATTTGGTGAATGGCCAGAACATGTTCTTTTAAATGTCCTTCACTTGTATACAATATTCTGTACATTAGAATAGTTGATCACAAAATTACGGAAGAGGATTAGGGCCAGTGAAAAAAAAAAAAGTTAACTGATTTTTACATTTTATTTCAGTTTAGTATGGGAAAAAAGTTAGAATTCTGAGAAAAACTCAGAATTCTAAAATTAAAGTCAGAATTCTGAGAAAAAAGTCAGAATTCTAAGATTAAAGTCAGAATTCTGAGAAAAAAGTCAGAATTCTGACTTTTTCCCCATGTTAAACTGAAATAGAATTTAAAAATCAGTTAACTTTTATTTTTTTTTCAGTTGCCCTAATCCTCTTCCGTACAAAATCATGTTAAATCTTTTTAAATTGTTTCTCAGACTCATAAGATAATGCAGTATTGCCAATCAGTTCAACCAATATACCTATAAACACCTTCACCCGCTCTTAGGGCCTCATTATGGTGTTCAATCTCATTTTCATCATCAGCACCACAACAAACTACATATCTAGGATTTAAACAAATTTTGGAAAGTACAAAGTAATAATGTTTGATCCAGGTGCCTTTACTGTTATAGATCTATCTCTTAATAAGTGTTTTAGTGCACCAACTTATTCTAAAGGATTTTCTGAATTTTCTTACATTTCTTTTTATATTTTCTATGTTTTGTTCAGTTTAAGCAAAAAAAAAAGTTTACTTTCCTGTTTACATGACTAGATTAGATTAGAAGAAGAATTCTGAATGTAGGAAAACAGAAGTTTGTGGAAATTGCAACCAGTATTCTTGTCACTGCAATATTTAGCAACAAAATCAACATTGCATAATAGGCAATCCTGTGTGCAGAATTGTTTGCAAGAATCTTAAGGATTTTATATTAGGCCATCTTCAATTTTAAAATCAAGTAAATAATGAAAGTCCTCATATTATTATTATTTTTTTTTTGTCAGATGAAAAACTAAAGTGTAAGATTGTCATAACGCCAATTTAACTTAAAGTTTGGCAAAACATCAAGACAGAATAAGACTGCAGCATAAAAACATGAGGAATGGTTACACTTGCAAACGAAGGAAGCAACTCCTATCTCCTATCAATACAGTTTCCATCCATATAATTTTACATTAAGGTGAAGGATAAATAAAAGGGAATCTAGTTTTACCTATGTCTGCCTTTCACATACTTAACTTCATATTTTAGATTTTAGCAGTTAAATAAATTTTTCCCGTCCTAACTGAACAAGCAATAAAAATAAAACTGCAACTCTTGGACACCTTTGTTTTACGGATGTAATTTTGTGCTCTGAGGCTGTGAAATCCTGATTTGTACTGCCTTTAAAAATTGATTTGAAGGTCATATGAAACTGCTGGCGGTGAGAAAGGCATACTGGGTAAACAACGGGGACTCAGACCCATAGACAGAGACACTCAGACGGCGGTAAATGGCTTTGCTTACTGCCGCTGCACTCAGATATAGGCTGCTTCACTTTACTGCCACTGACAGTATGTGTGAGTGTTTTTCATGCTTACCTCTAGTCACATCCTGTCTCCTGTCTGGGCGAGTTTCACCTTTTTCACTTTAATTGGAGGACAAATGAGGAGGTGAAGAAGTTTGCTGCGTTATTTCCCTCAACCTATGAAAGTATTTGGCCTTCAAACTGAATACCTGGACATTAAATATTGTAGATAAGCTAATTAACGTATTGCCTCTTCTTTAAACTTGTTCAGTCTGATAAAATTCATAATAACTTTTAACTGACAGTAACCAGGAAAATATAAAGGCCATGTTTGATGTATATAGGTCAACATTTTCCCTTATAGTTTGTTATAAATGTTCTTTTTTGTTGTTTTTTCTCTACAGGGCGGGGTTCGAACAGGATATAGAGGGTGACCACTCTTTTTACCCAGACAACTGTCACAGTAAGATCTTCTTTTAAAGTCACTAAACTATTTAAAGGTTCTGACATAAACTGTAGAGGTGTTAGAATATAGACGAGGATGTCTGTCAGTAGATAATACAGTTCAAGTTATCCCAGTTTGAGACATAATTAGAAAAACATAGCAATATAAAAATTGGAATTCTGGTTTCCCAGTAGTCTTAGCTTTTTAATGTGAAGATTCGCTGTCATCCAGGTCATAGTCATTCCTGAAAAGTTAAGAAATAAACCACTGGACTTTGTTGTCTTATATTTATAAGAGAAATACAAAGGCATTAGTGGAGTCCAGAAATATAATTTTCAACCCTGCAAAATACACACTTTGATACCACACCACTCTAAGCGGCTAGTGTTCAAAACTTATGCCTTTGTAAAATCATGGGCAATCTCATTAGCATGTGCAAACTTGATATACAAAGTAGGTGGAATTTGTATTATGCATGTGTGTGTGTAAAATTGGCGGAACCACAAGCACAAACATTTGGTTATTCCCAACAAAAATTTGGAATAACTTTAATCTTTAGGAGATTAGAAATAAAATTATTGGCATGGTAAAGGTGACTCTAAGACCATCTCCAAGCAGTTTTATATTCATGTGACTAGAGATGCACATATTATTGAGTTCAGTATGAGTCCAGTTCTCCTAAGAAGGTTCTACAGATTTCTTAAACAACATTAATGAGCACATTTCATAAAGTGAAAACTTAAATTCATTTTATAATAAGATTAAAGCAGGATTAGTTAATATCAGAAACTTTAGGCCCCTTGCAGGATACAATTTGATATAACATCTGAAATTGAAAATTTTTCTTATAACATAGATCAAATTTAGCAATTTTGCAAATTTTGTGTTGCAAAATTAGCCTGACGTAGTCCGACTCAATTCTAGTCAGAATATGAGTCTGATTCTGCTCCATAGAGCTGTGATTATCGGGCGTGTTTCGAACGAACCAGGAAAAAAAATGCCTCTGCACTCAATTGGATAGACCTACAACCAATAAGAGCAACGGAGTGCGTGACGTATGTTAAGCGAGGCATAGTTGTTGTCCACAAAAATCTAAGCGTGCAGTTGCACGCCTAGAATAAGAAGATGAGACTTGATCGCGTTTCTCTGTTCCTCTTTTAAAATTAATTTGCTGTCGATATCTTCTAGAACAGACCTAATAGTAGAATCTACTCACCTAAACTCTCCAGCGGCAGCCATTATTGTTGTCACCCAAGCGCGCTTTGGTCACGTGGTTGATTACGTTACTGTTGGTCATCTGTCCATCATCGTATAAAGCCCGCCCTGACAATTTGATTGGATCGCCTGACAGTGGGCGATAATACTCGCGCTACTATGGAGCAGAGCCAGACCGAACTTCCCGACCTCAAACTTTGTGGGCGGGACTAAGATCGGAATGGCACCCAGGCTATTGCAAAATGTCCATATGAGGGATTATTGTATGAATATTAATGCTTTGAATCATCTTTTGTGATTTTTTTTTAATATAATTTCTTAGACAAGTCACAGTATTTTTTTAAAATATGTGTTTTATTTGACCCAAGTTCTTGAAATTGTTTTTTCTGTGATTTTTGTACAGCTGATCTTTTGGCAACAACACGGAACCAGGAGTCGGCTGCTGACTCTGCCTATGGTAAAGTTAAGCATTTTCTTTATTACTTTATTATATTTTCTAAAATGTCTTGGTTCCTATTAGTCATCCATGTTAAGAATCTCATGCCAAGAGATTATCTGTGTATAAAAATGTATGAGTGTTGAAATAGGTTCTAATGCTCTAATACTCCAGATGTTTACCTCATAGATACTAAGCATATTCAGAGGAACTAAGGCTCTCAAGAAATCACAGCATCTGAACACAACTTTGTTTGTTTGTGGTGTAACATTAAGTTCATAAAACTGGACTTTCAGCTTCAATCTTGTGTAAGTTTGTCTTGACTCTGTTGAGGCGGTTTTTAACTTATTTAATAAAAAAGTAAATGTCCTAAAGAGATGAAAACACATTTGTGGAATATGTGCTGATACAGCAAACATAACTGATCAGCTGTTTCCCCTGCTGGCATCCTTGAACCAAGCACTTGAATGGCACTCCTGTACAACATGCACAGTTGCAACACGTCCATTAAAACCTCAGCCAATTACTGATCTGATCTCTGCAGTAGCCTCCACTACAGTCAAGCATAACTGAAACATACAGTAGGATGATCTTCACCTTGCCCCCCCCCCCCCCCCTTTCATGAAAGGACGTCAAATTCGCATCATTATTATTATTAAAAAGATTAATCCAGATTTTAAAAGTTTGATCAAAACTTGCATGGCGTGTGGATAGAATTGCAGCTAATGGTAGAGTTTGACTGTAAAGTATATAATCTGATTCAGATTACGTGTGGAACATTTCAAAATACACCATTTAGGGTTTGTTTTACAGCCTATATTCAGGATGCAAATATGTGAATAAGCTTTAGGAAGAAATTATAATAAAGTGCACTTAAAGCCTGCAGGAAGAGGCCAGGAAACTCCTGTCTGAGTTTGATTTCTTTACTAACAAGTTTAGACTCAAATGGAGAAAAACCTTTTTTTGTTGCTAGGTTGACTCTAGTTAATGTACAGTAACTCATTGCTCAGTTTGACATCATTACTTTCCACCACTTACGTCCAGTAGATCAAAGCCTGGCCGCTCTCAGCTACCTTCTCTGTATTCATTGCTGCAGCTCAGGCGCTACCTGACTGTCAAGAGTCCTTCTCGTAAACCAGGAGAATCACTGTCATTCACCAAGCAGCAGCCGAACCCACACAGTGAATCCTATTATTGCTCTATACGGTGCATTCCTGTGATTAAAGCCAGAGAGAGGACAGCTAGAAAGAAATGTCTGCTTTGTGGTCTGCTTGACTCGAGCCGAGTTCGTTTTTAGGAACACTTGAACCCAAGAGGCTGCGTGGTGTCAGCGATTACAACTGCACTGATGAAGAGAAAGAAGGTGAGGGAGAGCAAGGTCGTCAGACTGTGAGCTCAGTGAATCAGGGAGATGAAAGCGATCGATGATTAGTCTTTCGTTTTCACCAGTTCTGAAAACATTTTGAATTACAGACCTTATTCAGGTCTGAATGATGTTCTTTATCAGTCTCTTCAAATTCAATCACTGCCTCGATTTGACATTGTCATGTCCATGTAACAAGGTTTTTTTTTTTCTTTTTTCCATAAGTGAACAAATGTGAGTCAGGCAAAGGCTGCATCTCCTGGGCTAAATTCACTGTAGGCTATGAAATCCAAGGTTAGACTTATAGCTGTCATAACATAAAGAATACCTCATTTTGTATTCTACCACTTAACCTAACTGCACCATACTGGCTTTGAAATAAGACTGTGTTAGTTAAATAGAATAAAGTCATAAATACAAATACTTTCATTAAAAATATATTCCTATTGAGCACTGAGTGCTTCTTAGCAGAGTTGGAAAAAAACTCAGTTGACCTATTCCTTTGTTGGTTGTAACATGGGATTACATGACTTTATTCTATATATTCTATTGTCAACAAGGGAATTTAGGTTGGCCTTAATGATTCTTATATACATTGTAAGATTAAATAGGACTACCACCTTTGAACAAGCTTTTCTTTGTACTTATTATATATGCAGTAAATATTAACAAGGTTGCAAACATGGCTGCTGGCATTTGTTTCTTGAAGTTTAAAATTCTCCAATGAATATAACATATTACCAAAGCAGCTAATCTATCATAGCACTAAATAGCACAGAAAGAATGATTCAATTCAGTTTATTTATAGTATGTAAAGCCGATTTACTGCACGTCAGCAGACATATTTGAATAAGCTTATACAGTCAGAGTGATTCAAAGTTTTCTGTGTAAGGAAAGCCAGCTGATTGCATCCAGGCGTTAAGTTTGGAGGATTCTTTCCTCCTGGATGAGCTTGTTACAAATATTCACTTGCATTTTATCATTGACTTTACAGCATCCCACACCTACCCACATGCATGCAGAAACAGTGGAGAGGAAAAATTTCCATTTTACAGGAAGAAACCTTCCAACAGTTTCATGGACAAAGCAAATGTATGATTCATTTGATATTACAATGATGTCTCTTGCAGCATTTGTTCTATATTTAATAGAGCTAAAAGATTCTTCAGGGAACATGCTTATATTTTGTTTTGTGTTGCTTTTTCGATAACTAATTTTAGTACAGTAATTATTTTTGAATAATCCTATTAGCTATAACGGATTTTAGGAGAGAAAATGGGAACTCTCTAGTGGTGAAACATAGTAATCACAAGGATGCCATGAGTCTTCTAGTGAACACGTGTTTTTCTGCATTTTACCTGATTTCTAAATGAATTTCCAACTGTGGTATGACAAACCTTCATTATATTTACACAGGAAGATGTATAGAAAACCTTATATGTGTTATTTTGTTCAGGAAGGAATTAATATGTTCATATATGACTGTATTTACTGAAACCCCCATTGAACCAATTAGTGATTTTCACTCCTCTCAGTATTTTACACACTTTGTCTTTTTGTGTATTTATTTATTTATTTATTTATTTTTGTAACTACTTTTACCAGTGTGTAAATTGATTTCTTTTTGTTTTAGCTTAATTAGAGTCTTCAATTAAACCTTTCATGCTTAAGGCAACTCCTCTTAACTTTAATCCCTAGTATGGCATTCTTTAAAAAAAAGACATATTTCACCCTATAAGGTTCCCAGGAGTTTGGCATTCTGGATTCAACCTTTAGTTTCATTTTATTATTTCTGTTTTATTTCTTGAAACACATCACTATTTTCGAAGGAAGAGAAACTCCTCATCCACAACCTGACTTATGAATCAATAGCTTCATGCCTTAGTTTTCTTTGCATAATTAAGACTTAGCAGAAACATCTCCAACTTCCAGTGAAAAGATTAACCCAGTGTTGATTACAATCATACAGCAGATATGATTGTTACAAATAAAACCATTGTTTCATAATATAATGTGTATTTTTTGGGATTAATTGCTTGACTTGTGGTTATTGTATTGAAATAAACTGACTAAGTTCTAGATTTTGTAAGGCTTGTAGGAAAATTCACAGAAATTATGCACTATAGCATAAAAGAACTAAAAGTACCTCTATTGCATGGCATTACCCATATACTTTATTTTGCTCACTTTATGGTATTTGAGATGTTAAAATCTATGCTGAACTGTCTTTTTATTAGTGGCTTTTCAAGTTAAAACTTACCAGTTACTTTCTGCACCAAGGCTTTAACTCTGCAGTGACTTGTTTGGCAACAAAATAGGTTGTAGACTTGTTGTTAGTGAAACTACCACTCAGCCTTCTCAGGTCTTCTGGCTCAACTCTGCAAACCCAGAACCGAACAAGGGAAAGCAGCTTTTAGTTCTTAAGAATTATCTCCCGGAAGACTATAAAAGCGCTGAAAACCCTAAATTACTTTAAACAAAGCTTAAATATGTATTTTTAACTCTACTATCTAAACAAAAGTTAGAGGTTTTATTTATCTTTTATTTCCGGGTGGATCATCTAAATAAAGGTAAATCATTCTGGTGTTATTTTTATGTAAGGCCGTCCTACAGTACATGCTCATCCCGGTAGCCATCTTTTCCTGCGTACGCACACTTTCGGCATCATATATGTGTGGTGAGCTACAGTGTCAGACAGTCAGCGAAGCTCACCTTTCTCATCGTGGTTCTTTGAAAATGGCCGAGGGTCATTAGAGAAAAAGACTCTACGAAGTGTATGAGAAGAAAAGAAAGGCCTCAGATGAGGCAGATATATCCTGGAATGCTTTGTGTGGAGAGCTCTCCTCACAAAGCATTCAGGGATTTGCTGTCACAGCAGCCTGCTGTCGCCATAGGCTGTCGTTAAGAGACAGTGGCGACTTATAACAAAGATGGTGCAGGCACCGCACATTGGAAGAGGAGTTACATGACCAAGAGAGCAAAAAGCAGTGATCATCTCTCCGAACGGTCAGTTAACTGAGTTTTCTATAAAGTCCACTACATAGCCCCCGCAGTATATGGACACAGTAGGCTTATATGAGCTATGAGAACAGCACATTTTAAACAGGGAGTGCACAAGGAGAAATGGGCTTGTGCATGCTCTTGCATGCGCATTTTTTTTTTCAAGTGGAGAGGGCGAGTCTTTTAAAAAGACTCCATAATACCTTTATGTTTTCAGTTTTCAGGTTTTTTTTTTATATAATCATTATATCTTTTTTAATATATCGTCTTATTTTGATATTAATTTTATTAAATATTTGTGTTTCCTTTATTTTACTAAGCTTTTCTTTTTCTTATTTACAGCATTTGTAACTGTTGTGCTACTAAAAGCTGCTACATAAATACACTTGCCTTGCCTTTGCTTAGTGTCTGGCAGCCAGGTGTGAAGGGCTCCCAACACGATAAATGAATGAATGATGTTTTAGCCTTTGTGCACCCTTATTCATCTGCAACATGCTAGATTGGTTATCATTTCCGTAATGACATCATTTGCTGGGGAACTATTCCCTTAATGAGGTTTTTTCAGTAGATTGCTTATTTAATGCACTGACAAGAAGACCCCCATGGGTTTTGCTCAGTCCTTGAATGGACACAAATTGGCCTTGTGCTTTTATAGAGC